GAGGCTAGCATCAAGAGCCAAGAACTGAGCATCAAGAACCAAGAGGAGAGCATCGAGAACCATGGACTGCGCATAAGGAATTTACAAGTTCATATGAGCCAATTGGTGGAAGAAATGGACCGACTAGTGTATCGGCTCGAAACAAGTCCAATGAGTTCGAGCGTCACCCATTCATGCTGTGAGGATCTCGAGGAACCTGAAGAGTGTACATACAAGCCGGAGAACGAAAAAATCACGCATATAGAGAAAGCAGAGTCGAAGCAGCAGAGTACTGGGGTACCCCGTACTCGACTTTCTGGACCCAGTACTCGACCTGCTGTAGCGAAAAAGCGTACCGTTCTCCCTGCTCTTGTGCCGGTAGAAGCTGAACTGTGTCCTATGTATTCTAATATGAAGTAGGTACTGAGCAAGAATGCACTGAAGCATGTCTTGAGCCTTGATATACCTTCTCTTGAGACGATCGAGCAGAACGAAAGGTGTAAGTGGGAGTTCAATGAGACGATGACCGTGATTGAGCACGGGTTGCTACTTATTTTTGAGGGACCAGCTCCATGGAGGAAAGATCCAGTGAAACATCCAACACCAGAGAATGGGAATGTTGCCAAGCATGGGGCCGTAAGATTTGTGGCTCCCTTGAGGCCACCACCGAAGCCGCCATGGACCATCTGATGAAAGGGAGTAATAAGTCGGGCCAACGACAATAAAAAGAGGCGCTTGTTGGGAGGCAACCCAAAGGTGTGCGTGGTTCGGTCGACCTTCTTCGCATTGACTAAGCTGTACTCGTTTCTTTTACCTCCATTTTTGTGCTTTTGTGTTTATTTGAGTGTCAATGATATATGCAAGCTCTAAGTTTGGGGAGGTGGTTTCTTGGTGAGCATTCATGTTTATTATGTGATTATATTTTTGCCCCTTAGAGTTTGAGTCTTAGATTAATTGCATGATATATGTTAGTCTTGTGTGTGCGTGAGATTGCATTTACGTGGAATTTTGCGATGATGACATGAGAGTGAGTTTGGATTTATTGTGCTAGTTTAAATGGCTTGAGTTGATTTTATTTGGTTAAATTCTTGAGGTGTTTTATTTTGGGGACAAAGATATGAAGGTTGATATTTTTGTGACTTATTGTGGTGAGTTGGTTTTGAGGCGATTTGTATTGTTGAGATGTGCTGGTGATTGCTTTAATCAATGTTGACTAAGTTTGGGGACTTAAAGTTAAAAGTTGGGGTTTCTATGTCTCATAGTTGAAAAAAAAAGAATAATGAGGATGGATGAATAATTGGTGGAGTTGAAAAGCCATTGGCAAAAAAATAAAAAATAAAAAATAAAAAAAGTAAAAAAAAAAAATAATAAAAAGAAAAGATAGTGGGCTGCAACAGCTGCCAATCCGTGGGGGCTCTAGTGTACAAATCCAATAATTTCCATATCTATACGAGCACGAAAGGCTAAAACCCACAGGTTGTGACGGAGCTGCCGTTCCCTAATTTAAAAAAAAAAGAGAAAAAAAAGAGTTTGGAGAATGAGACGTTTGGACTTCGGCTAGAAACGGAAATAAACTAGACTTGTTAGCAAAGAGAGGGGTGTCATAAGTTGCATTGATCAGTGCATTCGTTATAGAGATTGACAAACTATGGTGGTCACTTGAATTGATACTTGATGTGTTTGCGTTCTTAGAATAAGTTTATCTTGAGTCCGGATAAATTGGTTTGAGTTGTTTGAACTATGCACTTATGTGAGAAGTGTGAGGTTTTGAGCAAATATTTCACGTACTTGTTTTCTTGTCCATCTATGTGCATTTAGTTCTAAGTTGCTTGGGAACAAGCAACGGTTTAAGTTTGGGGAGATTTGATTTGTCGGAAAAAGTGTGTATTCTATATATTTATTAGCATATTTTTATATGCTTAATTTTATCACACATATATATCTTTCGACTTATTTATTTCTTCAGGTGGATCTGGTGCTTTGATTTATTTATGTTTTATTTTTAGGATATTGGAGTATTTTTATGGAAGACGAGACGTTGAAGAAGGATTGAAGCAGACCAGTACTAGGGTACCCCATACTCAGCCGTACACATGCACGAAATTGGGCCCAACACTTGTGATACTAAAAGACTTATTGGGCTAGAGACTAATTAATAAAGTGGGCCTCGGAGTCTTCAAATGGGAGGAGGATTAATTGGGAGGAAAGCAAAAAAAGCATATTCACACCACTTGGAGACCAAAAAAGGTGGAATATAAAATATTCACGCATAGAGCCGCCACGCAACAGGGACAGAGGAAATAAAAGAAGAGCAGCGAACAGAGTAAACAGAAGAGGAAGCCGATCAAAAGCGGAGGGAGGCCGCACCCGTGTACGAGGGAGATAATTAATCTCTCTTTTATCTTTTTATTTTTATTTATTATGTTAGAGTAGATTTTATTCTAGTTCCGGGGAAGTTGAACCCTACGACTTGATGATGTTTGATTAATTTATGGTTGATTATTTAGTTATCTTTTTGAAATTGTTTGTGTTATTTTGAATAATTAACCATGATGTGTTGAGTCTTATTTAGATTGATCACCTAGATTAGGCTTTACATATCTACACCTGAATTAGGCCTTCAATCCGTAATTGTTGATGTGTTTAATTCGTAAGTGGTATCCGGAAGATGGTAACTATCGGGGATAACACGGCCTATTTAAGTGAACGAATGCGTCACTACTTAGTCTAGCCTATTTTTCTAATTCGTAAAGCGACTAATTGTATTAAATCTTGAAAGCGTCTTTCTAGACTGTACAAGAAGTCAGGTCTAATCGTAGAGCGTCTCGCGGTTAGATTAAAAATAAGGAAAAATTTCGGGTAACTGACCGTGTCGTTACCTAGGACTAGTAATTTCATAAGATAGCGAGATTTGATACCAAAGTTGATTAGACGAGTCAGTCGAGGGTGTAGACGGAACCGTGAACTAGAAAGTTCTCTTATTTATTTTATTTTTATTTTTATTTGGTTTGTCTAGATTTTATTTATTTTAGTTAGTTTAGCTATTAAATCACAATCCCCCCCCTTTTTATTGCTTTTATAGTTTCAATTAATACAAGAAAGTTAACGATTTGATACACACTCCCTGTGGGATCGACCCTTACTCGCCACTACTACTAGTTAGTAGATGTTAGTCGAGGAGAATATAAATTTTAATTTTGCCGCGTTGCGACGCGCGGTCAGCCTCAAATATCAACTTGACCTCGAAATGACAAACTCTCAACACATAGATCATCAGATATGCCTCACTCATTTTTCTCACATAAATATATGATAGGTACGCTCAAAATTGGTCAATATTCAAGTTTCAACATATGCT